TTTTTTTTGAAAATGAGAAATACTTGAGCTCTTTCGTAGCAGAAATTGCTTTTTTCAGTTGGCGAAAACAGTATTGGTACTTTTATTATTTTCTTGGGCTGAGAAAATATTCTTTTCTTGTCGCCGTGGCTTTGAGAAATCTTTGCTGAAGTAGTTTCTGTAATTAACGCCAAAATTGCAAAGGAAAATAAGATCTAGTGCCTAGCAAGTTTAACTGCGGACCGGGTGTGGCAGGACATCTGCTTTACTACGGTGTACCAGTGAGAGGGGAAGAAAGCGCTCCTCCAAATTCTTATGAGATCGTGCGCGTGCACGTATCCACGGTATGGCAAATAAAACGGGAGGTACGTAGACTGATCCGGCCAAAGGGCCATGGAGCTTCGCAAAAAGATAGTCCATTTTTCAGCTGTTCGGGAAGAAGCCAGCATTTTTCAAATGCTGGATCATATAAATATCGTTGAAATGTATGGTGTGATCGTGGGCGAGGAGCCGGCGCTAGTGCTTGAACTCTGTCATGGTGAGTGCTTCTCTGTTGACGCTCGAAACGTTCATGTGATTTAACGGTATTACTCAACCCTTTTGCATATTCGCCTCCTCTCCTCCCTCTCAAATCATTCACAAGGGAGAAGAATCAATAAAAAATAAATAAGCCAAGGGGCACACTATTCGATTAAAGAAGGGAGAGGGGGAGAAGTGGGTGGTAAAGAGGAGAGTTTGCAATAAAATCAGTAAGACAGTGTAAATTGTGCTTAAAAAACAGCAGTTTTTGTCAGCAGGCAGCACATGATTTAGCTTGGAGGCAAGACGTTGGGCCATTTGGTGGAGAAGCTTGTGACGTGTTGCTGATACAAGCCGTTTTGTAAATCAGACTGGACTTTATACTGCATTTTTTTTGACGAACTTTATTTGTAAATTGTAGCATTATTGGTGACATTATGCTGGGATAGCGCACTTTCTGATACAGTGCGTTTGCTGAGATTTCCTTTCTGACAAAACAGACCGTTAATTGTATGCCCCGTAAAAAGCAGTGGCAACAAATCTTCTACTTAGACATAACCTGCATGTGTCGGGAATTTCCAGCATTTCCAGCATGTAGCTGTATTTGGGTTACGGCGAGAGCTTTGCGAAGGTTTTGACCGACGATCTCGATGAACTCTCGAGAACGATGGTGCACAAATTTTGTAATAGCTTTCCACCAGTATCGAGACCAACATATCACTGGGGCAGTGTCTTGTAATCGGCTGCATCTCAGTAACATCACCGTCTGCCTATGAACAATCCGAATAGTCGTAGCGATCTAAATTCTGTGTGTGTGTGTTATGTTTCTTTTGTCAGTTTAATTTGCGCAAATTTTCAGATTCGTTAGCGAAAATATGTTCGAGTAAGAAAGATAT